GAAATTCGTTCGGTACAACTTTTATTGCACATCAATTGCCTTGAAAACTCATGACATGAAGGGAAAAAAAATATGTAAGCGGCACAAAAGTTATAGCCACTTAAAAATTTGTAACCGCATTCAAAATTAGTTAATCCAATATTCAATAATAATCATATCCAGTGGTTGCACTATGTAGTGCGTGGTGAGCCATGGGCTTTTTGCAGAACGAGTAAGAAATAAAAATTCGGTTTTATTACCGAATCTATTCCGCCTGCAAACAAGCAAATAGTTGTCGGTATTATTCATATTTGGTGCGATTTGATAGTGATATGCGGGCGAGCAGCGGGTGAAAATTGTGGAGAAATGAAAAAGCACCCATAAAACTCAATGACTGTGGCTTTGTTTTACATGATTATCGTGCTCTCTCTTCCTTGGCTTTGGCTCTATAACGATAATGAATATATTCGTCTGTGGCGAGAATGCAATTCGCTGTTCATCCGATCAGGGATTGTATACATTCTTGGCACTAAATCGACACACAAAGACGAGAGAAAAACACACAAACCAGCGAAATGGGAATAATTCCGCAATAAAACGCAGTGGTGGCTGACTTGGTTAGATTTATTGTATATTAAAAATGAATTTCATTGCATGTATTTCCGTTAACATGCAATTTGAATAAGATATTCCATGCTTTTTTGCGCAAAGACTACGCATTTGCAAATAGAGAAAGTCAAGCAACGTTCTCTATACACACACACAGTGAGGCAGCCGTCTTGGCTGATGACGTCATCGTGCCTTGCACAACTTTCCCCGCACACATCGACGGCAATGTTGGCACAATGCTGCCGCAGTAATGTACTTTATTCTGACGTTGTGCTCAGGAAACGAGACAAAATTTACATTTAAATTCATTTTTGCAAACGAAGTGACTTTATTTATTTCGGGCGCGATACGATGTTTTGTATAGTTTTAAGCTGCTTGCTGACAGACTGCGTTAAATACTTTCTCTGAATTTGGTTTTTGATAAATCAGATTGTTGTTCGGGTTGTGGTACGGCGCACACAGTCGGTGCGTGTGTAAAATCGGGACGAAAGTGAAACGAAGAGATGGCGGAGGTTAAATGCAAACATGCTGAGATTGACACACGCATCATTTAAATCTTTGCTCGAACAACCAACGATTGAACGTGCCAATCTTGACGTCAATATAACAAAACTTTCAACATACTGTCGAATGAATTGAACTCTGCACTTTTCAACTGAACACTCGTCTTCCACTTTCTTCTTCCCTCTTTATCTGGCTGTCTCCATTTCTCCCATTCACTCCGGCTGGATTTGATTACACCTCTTTTTTATTGTTGAATAACAAATTCCATTTCGAGGTTTATCTTCACTCGTCATTCATCGCTCCTCGTCTGCTCACTATGTTTTCATCAAACGATCCATTTAATAAACTCATGTGCACCACTGACTCCAGCCGATGCCTATGCCTGTATGTTTTTTTCTCTTTCTGTATTGCCTTTTGTCGCTCGGCAAAAGCGCACGATAAAATCAAAATAATTTTTTCGTCAGATTTCGACATTCGCAAAGGGGCCACATATCGCGGATATACATGCCAAGTGAGAGCTTTTATAGACGTTTTTTTAGCTTAAAAACACTGTACGATACACACATACACACACGAACTAAAGTATCAAAGTGGGATTATTTACTAAATTGAAATGCGGCAAAATCGACTCTGGTTTCTGTGTTCTGTCGATCACTCGAGATGTTCCTGAACTATTTTTAGTCAACGACACGGTGGATGCTCTGGGATTTTTCCTCATCGGAATCATCGCATCTGTTCAAAGACAAAGACGATAGTTGTTGTTGTTGTTTTTTTTACTCGCTCTTTGCGACTCCCATTTCCGCATCTGGTTCTGGTTAGCCAATGTTATTCGGAATGGGCCAGATTACCAAGTTTCGTTTGTTAATTTTCAAAGATAATCTCGTTCTTTGGTTACTCATCTGATTTAAAGTAGACACAATCATGTTTCGACTACATTTTCGAGTGTTTTCCAAAAATGTTTCCTTAGGCATTGAATCGAAAGAAATACGCAAAAAATTTATGATGTAAAACGAAAATATTTTTCTTTGTGTTGTTTTTAGTTAGAACACCGACTTGGCCATATGTTCACATTTACCAAGTGACACATTCCAACGTAAGCCCCTTGGCGCTTCGCATTGAAAGCAAAACATGAAGCCATTTCATTTCGTCAATTTAGTGATTTAGATTTGTGCTCCTGCTGAAGAGAGAAAAGAACCGAATGTAGTAGCTGGATTCTTGCACTCGGCAAAAACCAAATGAGGGGTTGTTTTCTTGTCGATTTGTACTGCATTTACAATAGTGTATGTCTTTTTTCTGCTGTTGTTGCTCTGTGCCGCTTTTGGGCAAATGTCTGAGCGCACACTCGTTCTGCAGTCGATGTGTGTGACAACGGCAGCAATGCGATTCAAGCACAAGTACATATTAGATTCTATCGCGAATGGTTGTTGTTGTTGTTCCCTTGCTGCGGCTCTCTCTCCTGCTACCTCATGCCAAGCACAAAAGGGAGCGGCAGAGCGGCAGAGCGGCAGAGCGGCAAAAGTTGAGGAAGTTAATGCGATGTAATATGAGATGACAACGATCAAATCAATATATGTGTATCATCAACATTGTGTCATAAGATATTCATGAGGATTTGCTTGCTTTTTTTCCGCTTCTTCTTAATGTACGGTGGCGGGATAGCGGCAGCAGCAGCCAAAGTTCAATCGAAAAACAGGGGAAAAAATGCACTGGGGCTAAAAACGAGCAATAATGGAAATAAAGGCAGGCCCCAAAAAGCAATAGAAATTGTCATTTCAAAATGCTTTTATATAATTTGCTTGTTCGCTCTCTCACTCTCCCAGACTTGACATCGTCAATTTGAAAACCGAAAAATCAGACGCCATCTCGGCCGCTTTGTGTGTGTGTGTGTGCCCGGATTTAGATGCGAGATGCTTTAGCAATGAAGAACCTTCATTTGTCTGTCGCATGATTTTTCATGCGATGAGTTAAGGGTGTCACAGAGCAGCTTTTTGGCACGGAGTGTTTGCATAAATCGTTGCTTTGCATGTAAGACTTAAACGATTGGGTTAATCAAAGTTGACATGATGGATTTGCGACAGAGATAGAGTACCAACGAAAAAAAAACCAACGGAACGAGATTGAAATGAATTTCTCGAATCGACTTAGAGAACGGAAGAGACGACAGTCAATATTGGCATTGCAGTAGCTCGAGCGCGCGTCAATGATAGTCAATTCAGAGAATTTGGACTCATTGCCAAAATGCCAGTTCCAAGCGCAATGGCAACATTTTCCCAACAAAAACGAACATGAGAACGAGCACATTGATGCGATTGAAGTGTGGTTTGTGTTCAAGTTATATGCATATCATGTCAATCAACCGGATATTGACATCGGCAATTGAATTTCCATGAATTTCAAATGAGCGTTTCTTTTGACGCTTCCGCTTTTTCCGCTTCAAAGAATGTAAATTAATAATATAGATCTATTGAAATCAAATATGATGGCGAAATTTCCGTTCCTCAGTCGGTAGAGAGCGTATAGAAAAACGCCATGCGCACACTAAAGAAAGTAGCTTCATTCGCTCTACCTGTTGTGTTCGTGTGGCGACAAGATACAGTGCCCTTTTTCCCCGTACAGAATCAATTTTGAAATAAATACCCAAACTTTTTTGCACGTGTATTTATCTAGCTCATCGTTATAAATGTTGGTGAGTGAAAGCGACAACAAAAATCGATCATCGCGTCTGATCCAACAAATATTGACGGAGTATTTTGCGCTTTATCCCTTGTTTGTGCCAATGGTTTCTCGGCTTCCAACGTTCAAATTGAAAATGTTTCGTATATCAGTGTCATCGTATGATGTGTATGGTATATATCCAATTGGTGTTTAGCCATGGTTCCGATTGACTTGGATGGGTAAACATTTGTGTACACCACCCAATTTGTTTCCAAATTCGATACTGTATCCCGTTTGGATATACAATACTTGGTTGGCTACGATTTTTCTACCAAATGGTCGGATATTTCGATAGAGTTGCTGTACAAGAGCTTTATTAATTACGACGAAATAACACGCGAGCACGAAATCTCTAAGCTGAATTTCAACGGCAGAGCGCCATGCACTTTAACAGCCATCGATTGTTGGTGTTTACGATGCTTTTTCACTGCAACAACAATTCGCACGAATTTTGAAACTATTTATTCTGAATTTCCAGTTTGTTTGCTGAGCTATAGTACCATGGAAAAGAGAATTTATCATGATTTGTTTTTTTCGCTCTGCAATTTTTTCTATGTTTTTTCAGTCTCCTCTATTCAAACGAAATTCCACGCGAAATTTGTTTTTGCTGCTGCAAAAACACACACAACGATAAAGCGAGAAAAAACGTGGAACAAATTTATGCGGTGTCGAAAATTTACTTTTCGATAGCCCCTTTATTTCAATTCATACAAACGGATCATGACAATTTTCTTGTTCGATTCTCGGTATTTTGGCATTCACTTTCCGTCATTTTTATCAGCATAGTGTGTTTTCCCATTTGTAAAACGAGTGCGTTTTTGTGTGTGTTTGCCATTCAAAATAGAGAAATGAATTCGTCCAACACATTCGTTCATATGCAATGCGATTTTATTCAAATTAAAAGCTTGCATTTTTTCTTGCATAAAGTTACTAGTGCCACTCCTGCAGGCTACACAGGTTGCAGCATGAATTTATGTAGTGATGCGTTTTTCTCGGTCGGAAATAAACTCGTGTTTTAATTCCGGCAAAGTGAGCAAATTTAAAATTTTAATTAAAACGTTAAATATTGAATGTGGTACTCCATTTTTTTCCCTCTCACTAGAATCATAAATTAAGCTCTTGCTCTCGTGGCAAGAAAAAAGTACGACAGATACGCGCACATGGCAAGGTAAATATATCCAATGCAAACTCACCGTAAACTTCCCACTGTACATCGAAAACACCTTCAATGCTCATACCCAATTCATACGATACGAATTGCACACAGCGGTCTCGCTCTCTCGGTTTCGTTCCACAGTTGTTGAAATCGTTTAATTTTCGAGGTAAACCGAACGAATTAAAAATACATCAACGTGTTCGGTGAGATAACGGCGACTGGCTACATAACCATCAGACTTCCAAATAACCACAAAATGAAATAAGCAAAACGCACCGGATTACTCAAACACCAAGTGAAACTTATCCACTGCAGCAAATCTATAACTCACATACATCACACACACTCACTCACTCTCACCACTTTTTCTCACACCAATGAATTTATTGCATCCAAATGCATAGCTCAATGAAAATGGACGAGCTGAACCGAACAATTTTTGCCACAACTATTCCACGGGATTTTGTTTTTTTCTGCGCTGTTTCTCTTTTCTCGACAGTAGAGTATTTGATTTTAAAATGTTTCCGGAGCTTTTGTACTATTTTCCCCGGTTTTGCAATCTTCGTGATTTAACTGATATTTCCGTGTGAGAGAGAGAGAGAGAGCGGCGCGGTATTACAGTGGATTAAATTCACGTGCGCCGAGGCAAAGTTGCACTTTAATTGTATTTTGATACGTTTTTGGGTTTTCAAATTGTTTGCTACACTTTTGTTTCGCCGCAATTATTTCGTAGGATGGAATTTTGCTGGCACCTCGTATTTGGGTTTGTACTTCGTTCCGAAAGGCTCTTTTAAGCGAATGCACTGCAAATAAATAAATTAAAACGCTTTAGTGACACAAAGACAAATGAAAACGACGCGATGTGAAATTAGAACAGATTTTTCGCGTTTTACATCAACAAATACACCTGATGCACCTTCGTCGAGAGGAGGGTACAATACTACAAGTTTACTCTATAGAGAAAAACTGTTTGAAGCCAAATCTCTAGTTAGATATCAAATGTACACTTCAACACTAAAGATATCCCTCTATAGATAGATACCCATAGGTAGATATCAAGAGAATCCCATGGACTCGGTAATTACATAAATAAATCGAGCAGAAAGCGAAAGACCCAAAATGTGGCATCTTTCCGTAACTACTTTTCCTACCTCTTCATCAAGATAACCGATCCAACGCGGTGACCGAATTGATTTTACACACACACAAAAGTGCTCAATTCCAACAAACGATCCAGACAACAACAAACACCATGACATATAAATTTACTGATAATCTTTGGGGAGGAAAAACTTTGAAAAATAACTTTAAAAAACTTTTCACCCCGTGAAATCGATGGTTGTTCTGATTGAGATAATAAATCTATTGTTGTATCTCAATAAGTGCAGCATAGCTTCAAATGAAAATGTTTGCATTCGCGAAAAAAAACACAACGAATCTCAATCATTAATCAATTTTTTGTTTGCCCTTACTTTCTCTCGTCTGAATCGAAATCAATGAACAGATTTATGCCGTTGAACTTTTCTCATTTATACCGTGTTTTTTGTTCATTTGTTGTGTTTGCATCGTTGTCTGCACATTACTTTTGGCTTATCGATGGATAACTTTTTTTGCGCCCCAAGTGTCCAATGCCGAAACAATCAGTTACTCTAATTGGATGCCAGTATTTTCGAAACAATTTTTTTCTCTCTCTATCGATCCCATTTGCTATCAGCTATTGAGTTTTTAATCCGTTGTCACGTAAGGGGTTTGAGTTTTTAGTTTCCGGTTTCCGTTCCTTTATTTATTCCCTGGTTTTCGTTCATAGAATCAATCCGAGGTTTTCTCATGAGTTTCGTTTAATATATTCAATGCTTGATTTTGTTCGATACACAAAAAAACACAGTCTGGCGACTCTGGATGGGGCCAAGTAGCTCCAATCAGGCTGAAAATTTAATTAAAAATTGTGCTTCACTGTTTCACTCTTTCGCACAACTGAGAGCACAAACTATCTGTGTACGCTTTCTCTCTCTCCCTCTTATTCTTTCTCATTCCCTCGTTCCGCTGAACGTTGAGGCTGGTTTTTCAGTCGAACTCCCCGCAGTGCCGGAAAGGAAAAGTTTTTTCCGTTTGCATTCCGGAAGCATTGAAAATGCCAAGTCTGTATGTGTCATCGTATGTGAAGTATGCGATTGTAATCTATTCGTTTGCACAGCTTCGAGTATTGAATAACTCAAAAGAGAAACAGGAACTGAAAATTGAAATTATGGCAACTAAATATTCTGCATTTTTTTCTCTTTCCTTTCGCTTATCGAGCATATTCATTGTGGACTAGTGAAACGGAAAAAATTGAAAGTTATGTTTTACATTGCAAAACCATTTGGGATTTGGTTTACAACATTTTTTCCAGTACTTTCTTCTACATCGTCGAACAATTTCTGCGGTAAAACAGAATGGCAACAACTTTTTTTTTTCTCGAATGCAATGAATCTTATGAAATATTCAGTGAATTTGTTACTTTGGCCTAATTAAACTATAAATTCGAACCGTAACTTTCATTGGCCAACGGCATATTTTTGAATTCTTTCTGCTGACTTTGAACAATTTTCCACGCGGAGCAATTGCATTGGAAATTGCAATGAAATGAGAAAAAAATTGACAGAAAAATGTGACCAACCAGCATGGATTGAACAGCAAACTGTGTATAAAGTGGTTTCGAAAATGAAAGGCCACTTCATGTTTTTGTCATATTTTTTTCACGAAAATTCTTTGCGTCGAAAAATTGCGTTCAATTTATTTATTTTCTGTTCCGGGCTTTCATTTGTGAATTTAATTTTAGAGTTTGCATCATTTGTTTGGATTGTGATGAATGTCATGTGTCTGCGGCAGAAGTGGTTGTTGATTCAATTTGATGTGATGGCATTTGACATTGTGTGGGTTCAAAAAGTGAAACAATGTACAGACGGGCAGGAAAGCGGCGCACATCAAAAGCCTGTGTGTCATTGTCGTTCGAAATGAGATTGTGTCACTATTTATTTGAGTTTTTGGTATTTACTTTGAATAGGGTTGTAAAATTTTAATAATGCAATCGTATTGCAAAAGACAATGAAATGCTGCATCGGATCAAAATTCAATATAAACACTGGGAATGTGTCCTCATTCTCAATTTACCTCTTTCGCTCACACGTTTGCATCCAAGCAGAATAGTATAATCACATTTACTTTGCACATTTCGCTCTCTCTCTCTCTCTTGGCTGAACTGTGCTATGCTATGTGTGTGACGAATTTTAATGACACATCGTCTAAATCGAATAAATCAGTAAAGCCAAATTGTATACGTATTTTACTATGTAACTCATTTACACTTTGAATGAAATTTATTGGACTTGTGCACAGTAAAAAATAAAAGTCCACACTTAGGCGGATTTTCGACTGGTAGAGGCGCCCAGTCTTATATTTTGCCTAGTAAATTGAGTTTCAGACGAAAAACCGACTAGATTATAAGCGGAATTTCGCCTGCAGCTCAAATTACTAGCAGCAATATCGGCTGAAAGCGTTTTTAGCTGAAAAAACGGCTAGATGTGGACTTTTATTTTTTACTGTGTGTCTACCGTCCGAAAAGGAGGATTTGATGAATTCGTGTGTCGACTTAATTAAATGACTCATTTAGAGGAAACTCTTCGTGAATTTTAATTGAATATTACCGAAAATTTGCAATGCAACACTGCAGTTGAAAATGAGTGCATACTGCGACGTTATTGGGTGCTTTTGTGTCTGTAATTTGAATTGCAAATTCGGAACAATGGCATAAAAGGTGTACAACGAGCTTAGGTGAAATTGGTCATTTAATCACCCACTGCACTCATTATTCACCCGTAAGCCAGATAGAACTTGTAAGACTCTTAAGAAGATTCACTCTTAGGATTCTTTTTTTGCATTATGGCGGCTGGCAAAGTTAAAACGCTCGTCGCAAAATCACTCTCGTGGCCAAAATGCAACGGAAGCCATTCTCCGGCAGTTGTAGTGTGCTCGTCGTAAAAATGCGCTTGTAACAAGTGGCAAATCCAAAAGGAGTGGCCGCAAATTTGCATTCATAAGAACATTTCACTTTACACAATGAAAGCGATGCCGTTGCCTGCTGGTAGCTACACTAATGACTGCTTGATAAGAGATTGAAATGTGTCGCATTCCATCCAAAAGCTATTTTTGTATAGGATAAATATCTATTTGGTGAGCGAGTTTTATTTCAGCAATTTCAATTTTCGAGACTCACTGGCAACCGTATAAGTGGATGAAACATTCGGAAAACAATTAAAAAGTGAGTATTTTTCGTAATTGCTGCCGATGTTTTAAACGCAATCAACGAACCGATTCACAATGAATGTTCTGCTGATGCAGCACCACAGTCGCAGCGTTTATACATTGACTGTACTGCATTTAGCATCCGAGGTACGGTGTAGCATCGACTGGTGTGGAAAAGTGTTTTCGTTCCATCCTCTTCTTTATGGCACTTATTGCACACACACAAAAAAACGACCATTTTACCATAACAATTAATCGAATACTGAGACAGACGCGATCCATTTCACGAACGCAATAATAATCTGAAAGCACTTAGTGTAAATGGCAAAATTTTCAAACTATTTTGCTGCGAACAATAAGCAGAAAACGGAAAAAAACGAGAGCAAGCGAGAGCGACCAACTTAAATGTGTACACATTAATTGGAGTGAAAACAATAATAAAATCAGCCGCCGACATCCTTTCGAACTATTTTCGATAGAGAATGTTTGTTTGTAATGTTCAGTGTTTTCACACATGCACTTGATTGTAATGATGGTTGTGAGCGAAAGTACACATCGAGTCGTTTGTGCCACCGAAATGCCACGGCGAAAACTTAGTGCACAAGTGTTTACATTGAATTAGGCATGCAAATGAGTTTCAGTAAAACTGAATTTAGCGAGTAAGCAGCTGAGGTTATGAGAGTGAGAAATAGAGAGAGAGAACGCAAGTGAGTTAGAAAGCAGTGAGAGCACGAGTGGCTGATGCACTTGAATTTGATTTGAATAAAACGGCAAACGGCCGGGGTCTTAAACATGAGCTCATATGCGACACAATTTATAAATAGGCAAATATGAAATCACGCCTGTTCATAATGTGATACACATTTTCGGCAGCGCATATACGCCATGTAATACCATTTTGCATTCGGTATGTGTTAAGTCAACGAGCTGTGTGTTATGTGTTGGTTTTTCGCTTTAATAATTTTAGTTTTGCTTTCTCACATCTTCTCCGTCTCTCCACTCCCATTCTCATTCGCTTGGCAAAGTGAATAGATCGCCACGTTTGGCGCAAATTAAAAGTAAATCCAGCAGGTGCTCTCAGCAAATTCATTAGTTCCAGCATATTTGCTTTCTATAATAATATGATTTATCGTGCAACCCGCCGCATGGATTATGCCAGTTTATTGGAAAATTGACCCATCTATTTCGGTGTAAGCTGTTTCAGTATATGAAAGGTATGCGGAATGGAGTTTTATGGTTTGAATGTCGGGCTGCGGTTGTGTTCGTTAGTGAATAAGATTTATAGTTCAGTTGCAGCCGGTAAGCTAGAGAATAAAATTCGCTATATCCGTCCGTCCTCCGGCGGTCAATCGAAATGTGCGGCTACTTTGGCTTTATAAATAATAATACGAGGTGTTTACGTTACGGTGTTTTCTTAGGATCACATATCCAACAAGATCTCTCTTTCGCAACATGAAATGCGTTTTTTTTGCGCACAGGCAAACTCGATGACACATTTTGATCGGTCAAAGCAAAGTGGAAATATTGTACTTGATGATATCTATAAGACGAAAATAAGGCACTTAGCAAAGCCAGTAAGAAAACGTCAAGAGTATTGAAAATCCGGAATAATGCTGACCGAAAGAGAAAGCAAAAAAAAAACCATAAATACACACGCATACCGAACAAAGTCAAATTACATAAATCAAGCCGATTATCTGCTACAAGTAAATGTGTTCAACTGACTGATATGCATTCGTATGGGGCTGCGAATAAATACATTATGTGTGTGTGTGTTTTCGCCTATCGATTCCCATTCAGCCGACATACACTCACACACATATGTTCGCTATGAATATGGTTAATGTTGTTCGGTTGTATACGTTGTCAAATTCTCATATCAAAGTACGGCTCCTTGGATTTCGAGTTGAAGCATATTGAAGGCTGTGCGTATGAGTACGTGAATATGGATATATTAGATGCGATGATAGAGATAAACCAAAATTAGAGATAGAAAACGCGGCCATATTTCCTTATCTCCATTATTATCAGATGGATCAGACTCACACGCTCACTCAAACTATATCGAGGGAAAAAAATTGAGCTTTCGCAATCATTGGGTTTCGTGTGTCTGTAATGGAAAACACATCAAGGAAGACAGAAAAAAAAAACAGGAATATAATCTGAGATCTGCCGCATTTGTGAGCTCGACAATCCGAATCTCGGATCGAAGTCAAAACATTACGACGACGTGCTCTAATGCATATGGACATTTTATGGTTGAATATATCGCTCTCAAACCGCCTAATTTACTAATTTCATGATTATTTCGCCGAACGAACACACACAAACGCAAATCTCAATGATAGCACACATATTTTATTCATAGCCGTTTCTTGAATACACAAATACATACACCGAAAACTTCCAATTTATTTTCGTATTGATTTCGAATTTTTCACTCAATGCCCTACCGAAATGGTCAAAACGCCATCGAAACCACCATCCAAAAAGGATTTTCTCTTCTCACAAATGTGGCATAAAGAATGTGAAAATGAAATGGCACATTAAATTGTGAAACTAATGGCAAAATATGGGCCAATTAACGCAGCTTATACGAGAAAGCAAGCATTTCACTTTTACTATTTTGAATACCATTAAATATGCAACGATTTCGAATGAAAATCTGTGCGATATTAAGCCAAAATGAAAATGGAAACACTTTTCGAGGGACTTTCATACGTAGCAAATGGTTTTTTTCGTGCTGAGTGAGAGTGAAGCGAATGAGCGCTCGCTCATTCGTTCGTTTTTAGATTGTTTGTCGATGAATTCCCTAAAATGCGATTATTTGCTTTCACTTCTCCTCATAGATTTAATGTGTGTTTTCTCTCGTATTTTTGTTTGGTACAGCCGCATTTGTTCGGTTCGCTTCAGTTGGATTCATTTTCCATTCATGGCATTTTGCACGGAAGAAGCACACACACACACACACACACACACACACACACAAAATTGTCAGCACAGAGAGAAAGCGAGAGAATGAACAAGAATTGTGTATATTGAAAAACAGTAGCTCGGGGTTTATCTCGTGCGAACGGCATTTGTAATATGGTTCGGTTGCTTGATACTCTGACATTGTTATGTGTTTTCTCTCAACTGGTTGCTCGGTGAACGGTACGTTGAATATGTATGTGTCTCTGTGTGTGTTCCTTTTATTTTTCCCGTATAAATCTCACACAACTCTTGAATAATTTGGAAAATGTATTAAATGCTTTTTCGGGGATGGTTTCGAATTTTTAGGTTTATGTAAACATAAAACCGACGACGACGAGGACGACGACGATGACTGAGCTATGGCTTGGCAAAATGTTACCGCTGCTTGTACGTACAATGCCATCGCCACTTTATGTTTGGCGAAATTCATAATGTGGTCCCCATTAAGACTTTGTGTGCGCTCTCTGTGCTCCCAAAGCGGGAGTGAGCGAGATGGAGTGTGTGAGGTAGAGAGAGATACAGAGAAGAAGAGACACGAAATGAAACGACAGCATCTCAAAATTCGGCTCAACCGTCGAGAACATGTACTCTCAGTGCCACAATGGCATGTGAGAATACACACAAATGGTCGGTGCCATTCATCGAAAATAAGAGATATTGTGTGCGTACGCGCACCATTTTAAACAGCAGCAGCAGCAAACATTCCACACTCAAATGGTAGTTGATTCTTTAAGCTCTCTAGTCGGTCGGTTTTGTTTCTCTCTATGCGTTTTTCTTCGCAATTTTCTTCACTTTGGGCTTTTACATTGCCTTTGCTAACACACAACATCAGCAAATAATTCAAATGGAAAAGGCATCGAACATATATATTCGTAAAAGTTAAATAGTGGAAAGAAACGGCTGAGCTGAAAATCGACCGAAATACGACAACGTTCAAGCAATGAAACAAACGAGGAAAAAAGTTGATATGATAGGGAAAAAGTTAATCGTTTTAGTAAAAATATTGACAGAGAAAGCAACAACACGAAAAGAGCGAGAGAGAGAGTGGGTGAGAGAGTGACAGAATGAGAGAAGAGAATGCTTTTCTCATCTTTTCTGTTTTCGGAAGGGAAAAAAGTTTTCGCGATGATAACACAACATATATAAATGGGTAGATTCATGAAAGAGGATACAGCTTAAGATGATTAGATGATTGCATTAGTTCTGTGTAACCTTTTTTCTATTTTTTTTTCTTCTGAAAAACGCACCAGTATAGCAAAACCAAAACAGGGTAGAAGAGAGAAAAAAATTAATTCCACAATGAAATTGAATTGAAAGCCTATTTCATCGAATCCAAAAGCAGCTGGTAGCGTAGACAAAAAAAAACACAAACAATTTTCCGTTATCGTTCTAATCCATATTATTTTTTTTTTAAACGACACACAATCCCAAGCACCGAAATAAAAATTCGTATTTGATTGCCTTGCCTCTCTATTCGAGCTGTGTCACCCGTATACACACATATACATATATCGGGTTTACTTTTTCGGACGTATTTTGGCCTAAAATATTTCAGGTTGAATGCGTTAAGCTGAAATGACAACACTCTAACAAATTGTCGATCTGGACACACACCGAACACCAGAACGTGTGTGTGTGTGTGTGCAGAATATTCAACGGTTTTTGGAATTCACATTTCCAAAATGTGAACGACACTCCATAATTCCATGGGCAATTAATTTCAATTCCTGTAAATGTGTGCTGAAATTTTAACTAAAGCCCAACCAATGCGATATCTAGCCATCCGTTTCGATTGAGTATACACCGAATCCCACCACATGCCCCAAATGCTGTATGCGATTTTGGCATTTCAGGCAATCAGCACGCGTTATTCCGATTTTGAATTTGTGTGATAATAATCAGAGGCAAAGAGAAGAGAGGAAGAAATGAATGAAATTGAAGAAATGAATGATTTTCAAGACCTAAGTCGGAGAGAAAATTCTCTGTTCATGTGGCTTTTTTTCTTTCCCATTCATTGCTTTTTCTCGTTGAGAACATTTCAAAATCACATACATAAGCAAATACAACACAAACGAGTCAGTCACAAACGCACCCTCTTCATACGTAGAGATCACACACTGAGAGAGCGAGAGCGAATAGCAAAACTGGAATTCGTTGAATAAAAAATGCGAACGACCGAACCATGTGTGCGAGAAAATCTTTTATTATCCTCTTTGTACGTTTTCGGTATTTTTCGGTAACGGCAAAGGTGCCTCTGTTATCAGGGAATTCGATGCGATTCACATCCATGTATACGATGTGCCTGCCTGTAACACACAAACTGCTATGTGTGTGTTTTTTTTCAGCTCTGAAAAAGTTCCATCTCACATCTTAGACTTTCTCTGATTTTGGCCATTTTCTTTTCTTTTCGCTGTGGCCAGAATGAACAAGGGAAAAAAAGCATTTCGTATACGTATTTTCCATTCTTACATTTCGATCTTTCAACTGAATGATATTTTCATTCCGTTCTGTGCACAAGATTTTTTTTTCTCTTCAAATAGTTGACTGTTTTTTCTTTGCAATCTGTTGGATTATATCTCCGTTTTCACTACACTGTTTTTTATATCTTTCTCGTAACTAAAAACCAAAACCTTATCCGTCCAGAAATGTTTTTCACTACCTGATCTCAAATCACTTTCATCTAATTCACTTTTTGATAATCTTTGAATTTCGTCTTATGTTCAAAGAAAATCTCGAATGAATTTTTCTCTCCTCCGAATTATGTGTGGCGCAAAGAAGAAGAGAAAAAAAAACGGCGTACGCAAAGGCAAAATCACGACACAGAGCGAATATTGTGTACCGGTTTGTTAAATCTCTGATTCAAACGACAGTCAATCCGGGACTGAACGCTTCTTGCGAATGTTATGTGTTCAACCCAGTAACTCAGCTATGAGTCTGCCGTTTTCGCGAATGCTTCGTACTCAACAACATGCGTCAATGTGTTGGTTTTTCGACGTTCGCTGTTTCATCATTCCACGGGTTTTGGCAGCAGCTAAATATGGAGACGGTTGAGTGCTCATGTGTGTGAGCAAACTTTATACACGCATCAGAACCAATTGTAAACATTGGTTTCAATTATTAAGACGAGCTTGAACCTGTCTACCACAAAATGTGGTCACTTTCAGCTATCATAAACCTGTTCGTTGTATTAAGACACATGGTGTTGAATTAGTGGGAAATTAAAATGTTATCTCTTCAAAATGAGAAGGATTTTCGGACATTCTGATTTCAAATTGCTCCGGATGGAACGAGAATCAATTATTCAATCAAAAATCAACAAGTGTCCCTTGAATTCAATTGATTGTTACTAATGTTAAATTGCTCAAAACATTGGCGCCGTGAGCGAAATAAAAATTCATGTTCAAATAAATACTAATGTTCCAATGAATCGAAAGTATAATCTTAGAACGACATGGAAAATGACTCCTTTTCAACAGGACTCCGTGCTACGCAATATGAACACACGTACCAGTTAGCGCTCATGTCAAACTCATCAGCATCAAGTTGCAGGTTGCAGCTTGCAATTTAATTGAAATCCTGAAACCAAATGGAATCAACCGTAAAAACGATCCCCTTGGACAGAATTTTCACTTTGGTAATGGAAAAAAAAGTTGAATTATTCTCGTGTTTAATTCAAAAAGCTAAAAAAAACTCAAAACATATTTCAAATGTTTAGTAATAAAATTTCATTTTTATTCAAGAGCCATGCACTGGCTCATATGGTTTGTGAACCAAATAAAGATAACCATAAAAATATCACACAAATGTTGAAACTATTTTTAGAATTCATATGGTCCATAGACAATGTCAAATTTTCCGTTTTATTAGCCTTGCAAACCGTTAACATTTCAAAGCTGCTCTCAACTTGTGGGTTCCGATATAAACTAAATGGAGATGGTTTATTACTCGCTCATTTGTTCACGTAGCTCTACAATATGCTTGAGTTTTGCTAACGTACTTCATTGCACGCGCCACAACAGCGATTAAATAGTAAACAAGCACTCAGTATTATTGTTCCGTGTGCTTTTTTCATTTCTCATAGGAGTTCGTCATTGTTTGTGACATGCATTGAGAATGTTGTCTTTTGTAAATTGGGCTAAATCAATGTAGATTATTTTCTCGAAAATTGCTGATATCAAAGAAAAAAAGACGGTTTTATGGGACCATTGTCCTATGCTATACAGTGCTTTATTCAGCTTCATTAGCATCCATACGATCCATATAGAGAGTATAACGTCTTTTGTTTATGCTGATGCATCGCGAGAGGGACAGATAGAGGTATGGAGAAAGAGTGAAAAGAAAGTGTTGTACAAAGCCGGTGGCTATGTCAGCATCAGCTTAAATTGCTTCTGTGAAACTGAGCTGATACATAACATTTGCATGATTCAAGTGCAATTTCGCTTTATTTTCATGTTGATGAAGCTGCTGCCTTCACTTAGCAAATATTATCATCTTAATATTTAATATTAGAAATGCAGCCAAAAACCCATCATTTCTTTGAAATCATGGGCAAAATTGTTAAAGGATTCATTTGGTCGTTAAAGCATTTATGAGCTGAGTGATGTTATGCTTTCTTTGTTCGCAAATAAATCTGCAGTGTTTTTCATTACACAGTTGGATTTTTTCTTTGAGCTATTCTGCGAAATAGCTAGACGAAATACATTTTATATTCAGTATTTAACATGAATCAACCATATCTTGAGCATACACCTCGTATAAGAACCAAATTTTCTTGTGGCGCCATCTAGATGGCTTGCGGGGCGCAATGTATTTTAAATTGTTAGCTAAGTTTTTTCAGCTTAGTACAGAACCATTTTTGGCAAAGATACAAAAGCATGCTCGAGGTATGGAATCAACGGTGAAAAGTAATCTCATCGTACAGAATAATAACGAAAATAAATTTTTACAAGCTGTTTACGTCAGGCTGCTTATATTTTTAATTACCGATATTCCGGGAACTGCAGCTACTATTTGCGCAAATTGCACACCACTCACTGACGAGATGGATTGAAGCTGTTTGGTTGAAATTAAAACTTTTTTCTTCTTGGAATATGTGATTCAACTGTTTTTCCCTAAAACTAAAAAAAAATTACTTCAAAGTATTCTTGAAGCTTTTCATTCTCTTTATAAAGCTTTGAAAATTCAGCTTGGATATCCTTATAGTTGAAATTCGTTACATAACGACTCAATTTGAAATGTACAGTGTGCACTCAAAAAACATGTATTTGTTATATGAGAATATATTCTTGGAACGGAAGCTGCTGAAGTTGAAAGAAAATACCATTTGCTCGTTATTATTTCATATTCATTTTGAGGTTGCTCTTTTTCAAGTTTTTTTTTCATCTCGTTTGATTTTTGCTCAATTTCTTTCTCATTACTTGATAATTGTCCACGTAGTGGACTGTTAGTGGTTTTTATTTATCTTGATAGATTTCAATATCAATGAAAGTATATTTTTCTAGATCCATGACTTCGTGTCATTTGTTTCATAAATGAATCATCATTAGCTTTATCGATAATTTTGACAATCATGTGAGGTTTATTTTTCATTGATTTTAATTCACTTGCCTTTGTTCATTTGATGACTTTCGCTGCTTCTATTTCTTATCTGTGATCCTATTAGAGTGTGCCATTCTCTTGACGCACCTTTCATGATTTGTTTCAAGTGTCTTTTGTGTTTAGTTATCAAAATTGTTTGTATCTTTGATCTGCTATTTATCACACACGTGATATCGGATGAATCGGCATCGGATGATGCTTATAGCTTTGATTGGTTAAAATTAATCATCAGTAAAGAGCTCTGATGATCGTCAATTTCAAGCTTTGTTATTGGTTCGGGAATTGATTTCTATCGAATTAGAAGCGCAGCTCAAATGCTTGTTTTTATCAAACGTATACGTTTCAATTTGGAACTACCTACTTAAATTGTATAAAAGCGTGGATCATTTCATGTTTGAATTCAAAGTAATAACAACTGTCGAAAGATGAAGAGCTCAACATAAGCTTTGATTTCCGGCTGTTTTTCAGGTATAACTTGGAATATTACAAAATGTGAACTCAGTTAGTCCAAATAATCGAGAATCAAATATTTTTGTTAATTTTTCTTTGTTTTTTTTGGTGATCTTTAACAAAGATTTTATTTTTCAATTTTTTCTAGCTATCATTGTTGCTAGCCACGCCCGTATCATCGATGATGATGTGGGTTTTCGCTGCAATGGAGAAGGTGGTGAATGTGCCGAAATCGCCGATTTAGCTGGAGCCTTTCAATTTGACATCGATGTTACCGAATTAACCGACTCGCAATGCGTTGAATCCCCAAAAATTCCACTGAACGATTTAAACTGGACTTTTAACATTTGCATGGGTGACGGTGGCATTAAAATGAACTTGAGTGCATTTCCAATCGTCAACGCTCCCCACTGGACAACTGAAATTGATGCTACAATAATATTACTTACTACCCAAGCAAATTGGTTGGATCATGGGGAAAATTGGAAAAGTTTATCATATTCAAATGTGAAAAGTTCGTACAGTGCGGAGAAATTCTTGAGTGTATCGAATTTCCAATCCCATTATGTGAAAGATAAAAAGGCTACTTTTGATGTTGAATTATCAATGACGCCACTGGATACGCGTTCACCGACACCGCCTACAGGAGTAATTCGAACTTACGAAAAACTTTATTTCAAATTGAAGAATCTTAGCCAATTCCGGGAAACTGTTTCTTCTAACAAGACTGTGCAGGGTGTCAAATGGAGCGCACACATCGAAAAAAGCGTCAACAATTTGGTTGTATCTTTGGTGGCTGATCAAAATGATTTTGACGAAAATTCATCGTATAAGGTGGTCGGTGTTTTCAAAATACTCTCATTCGACAGTAGCTTCGTCCCGATCGAACGAGAGTTCACTCACAATTTTGGACGACACATGCATTCTATTAGAGAAATATTGTTGAATTTGAATTCAAATCAAAGCAGTTATTATGTGCAGAATGAATGTGCAAACATCGTGGTTGAATTTAAGGTACAAAAATCAAAAATACCATCCAATTTGAAAAGCCAATTAAAGGAAAAATACCAGTACACAGAAAGTGTTTTATAAAGAGTTCATTGAATAACTGTTGATGCCACTAATAAAAAGAATTTTGCAACAAGATACGCTGATTTTTTGAATTGTTACCTTTTCAATGTCATTTTGCTAATTCTTTAAAATTTGGACGATTACATAAATCTTTCCTTGATTCCAAATTGCAAATAAAGAAACTTACCTCAAAAGTATTTCTGAAGCTTTTCATCCGCTTTACAAAGCTTTTAATTTCAAGCTTGAATACCGTTACATTTAAAATGCATACGCGATCCGAAATTCGCACCCAAAGAACATATGTTATGTAAGAATATCTTCTTTGAGTGCAAGTTATTTAAGTTAAAAGGATAATATTCATTCATTTCAAGGTTGCCCTATTTCGAAATCAAGTTCTTCAATATAAACTGCAACGCCGTAGCCAGGCCGGCGCAATGGGTGCATTGCACCCTCCAAAAATTTCAAAGGTGCAACAAAATCGGATGCAAAATCGGGTTTCAAAGGTGCAACAAAAGAAAAATTTCGATTTTGCACCCTCCAATTTTTTTTCTGGCTACGGCGCTGATAAACTGCATCCGTCAAAATCATCAGATGTTTTTCAAAAGTGTTCGTTATCACCAGAGGTTGGTTGCACATAAATTTATTTATATAAATTTCAAATATCAAATAAATATATCCGATATTTTTCATGTGTCGTGTTGTTCTAACGCATTTGCCAGCTATTTATTGATGGAATGAGATTTTCGTTTTGTTCATTTACTGTTATTTGTCAACAATTCTGCCACTGTGTCACCACAAAGTATATATAGTCCATAAGAAATGTGCAGAGACGAGAATGTTCGCCATTTAGTTTTACA